GATAGCCTGCGCCGTCACAATATTCGTCCAAAATCCAACTCCAACAGCCGTGCGATGGGCAGGCTCCATCGCTACCGGCCTCCGCGTGATAAAGAACACTCGCAACAACTGCTGGTTGATCGGAAAAGCCACATATCACACATTTTCCTTGCACAGGGGGTAAATGTTGCAGAATCAATGTCGACAATTACTTGTGCTTATTTTGCCCTAAGTCCTCATTTGGTTTATACATATATAAAAATGGCTGAATTGGTTCTACATTAATGCACAGGAAGTCTATTCAATTTATCCTAGAGGGTCGTCAGTCGAAATTATGGAGTGGTGGAAGAGGCTGCCTCGTAAGGTGGCCGCGAAAGTTGTTAGTGCTGGGTTTGGGGATTTTCTGAGCCACTTGCCCGTGGCCGATAGAGATAGGAAGTTGCCTGTCGCACTTGCGGAGCGATGGTGGGACTCAACAAACTCCTTCCATTTGCCTTTCGGAGAGATGACACTGACACCCTTGGACTTCACCTGTATAACCGGTGTTGCAGTGGGCGGCTTGCCCATTACGTGGGATTACAATGTTAGGGAAAATGCCAATTACATCAAGGAGCAATTGGGTTGGGTGCCAGCTTTTGCTTCTGCCGGTGCCATCAGAGTTACCGATATATTGTCATTCTACAAAGACAAGGCGATTGACGAGAACGACGACGTCCAGCTGGCACATCTGACTAGAGCTTTCTTTCTATACATGCTTGGCCGCACTTTACTTAGCAACACGGCCGAAACAATTCACCTGTGCTGTCTGCCAGCGCTGGAGGACGTAGATCGTATAGGGGATTATAACTGGGGAGGGGCGGGGATGGCAACCTTGTACAGATTTATGTCCGCCGTCTCCCGACGCCTGACGAAAAGCCTAGGCGGCTACAGCTTCGTTTGGGAGGTAAGTCCAGATTTGCCTTCACTTTGTGTCAATTCGACATTTCCATGTTCCGTTACATAAACTTTTCTAGCAGTTAGTGTTCATCTCGAACGGTGGACATAATTTGTACGACCACGTGTAGGTGTGGGCTTACGAAATTCTTCAGTTAAGTCCGTATAAACTGAAACGGGACGAGAGGGACGTATTGCCCAGAATGTGGCGATGGCGCTCGTGTAATAGAGCCAATCGACTAGCACCGTCTACGGTCGAAAATTTTCGCCGCGCAATTGACACCATTGACCCGGAAAACGTTAGTTCCCCTACTTAGAACATCCAATAGCTTCTACCGCCTAAGTGTTAACAGTTGTTATGAATTTGTTCCGCCTGTGGAACAAACCAATGTTACATCGCTTGTTAATTGTGTGTCATAGGTGAACTGGCTGCCCTTCCCTGCAATGGCATTGCCCAGTCGGTATCTCAAATCCAAGGAACTAACTGCAACGAGATTGCTTTTGGATGGCCCCATGGGAAGATTTTACTACCTGGGCGAGAGGGTTATTAGGCAGGTGTATGCAGGTGTATGTGCAAAGCAACCTCCCCATCGGCCATCAGATATGTACAGCACTGATACAATTTCGGGAAACATGCTACATGATGTGCTTCGTGGACTGCCCATTGCAAGCCTATACCCAGATCCCCCTCCATATGCTACGTATGAGGAGTTTGTGTGTAGCAGGCTAATGAGACCAATGACTTCCTCCACGTTGGCACCCAGTGGGAAGGAGTGCGTAATTCATATATGTGACCAGTTGCCACTAAGTGAGGCCACAACACCGTCACTGAAACATCCAATTAATTACCCTCCCTGGTCTGTGTTGTGCATACAAACTGATGGATCACTGGAGCAAGAGGGCATTCACAGAGTTGGTGGCGATGTAATAGGGTTGCCTCTTCCATGTGCTGTTGGTGATGTGGTATGGCATTCTTCGCCCTGTACTTAACCCGCCATTTAATTTGCGCAATTTGTGTACAATTAATACAGCCATCTGTGTTGTTTCCGCTTAGGTGCCTAGACACTGGTACGAGGACCTGCTTGTTCAGTGCATAGGCCTGAGAAAGAAAGTCTTAGAAAAAAGTGCAGAAATATTTCGTTTGGCATCCAATGTGTCGGACAACACACAAGTGGTGGACCAAAGGCTACATCAAATACAGGTAATTTTGGAAAGTGCATTGAAGCTCCAAAAGGGGACAGGGAAACGCTGCCTTCGCGGTGAACTTGGTGGCCGGAAATCCTGTGTTTGTAAGCGTCCCAACACAAGTGCCGGGACGCAGACATTTACGGATGAGCTTGGTAGAGCCAAAGCTCACGAAAGTCAGGGAATTCATAATGCCAAAAACTGAGCACCCATGGCCCCAAACCGCAAACAAGGTTGTGTAGCCGGAGGAATGAGTATGCAAACTTCTTGGTACTGCCCACCAACAAAGCTAAGCTGTGAGCAATCGCCACGTGTGTTGCGTAATTCTGATACAATTTTAAACTTGAACACGGAAAATGTTAACAGTTGACAGATAATTCCCACAACTAATTTATAGCCCTGTTCTTATATTTCGTCTGTCCCAGATTGTTCTTCACCTACAATTCAAGTTTGCAGTGAAATTAAATATTTACAACAAAACAATTTAAATGGAAGTTGTTGTTATTATAAATCTATCACATTTAATGCATTACAATTTTCGAACTTATTTATATGAAATGACGGAAAAGCCTTTTGTATGAATGCAACTCCAACACAAGAATATGAGTTCAAGTTTGTGCAAACTAGTTACTTGAAATATTGTACTCCATTCGAAATGTACAAATGGTGTAAAAAAAATTAATCGTTTTCAGCTCTGTTTCGTTACTTTGTGCACAAGACACATTTCCCTTTTTCTTTCACTTCAACAACTTCCTCTGCAAATTTCCGAGACTAAGCTCCTACTGCAGCAACATCCCTATCTATAATTACATAATATATATAATTACTAATTAACTAATATTTTACACAGTTATAACGTATATAAGATTAAATTAAATCATTTTGCAACCTTATATGCATAATAATAAACATATTTATTATTATATGAATTATTAATCTTACATACACATATATATTGTAAGGGCTAATTTCAGAAACATCCCCTGAATTAGCTTGTGGAAAAATGGGAAAACGGATGATTTATGGAGAAAAGGCATAAAGAGCTGGTGTTTTAGTGCAGACCTGGAGTACTTTTTTTACCCGATACATAAGCAGGGTCAAAAATTCACTGCGCTAGTTAACCAATTTTTCATATATAAACAAATTTACTAAAATTAAAATAGCATGTTTCAAAGTTGCGCTTCTATTTCAAAGTCAACTACTCTTAAACAGCTTTTACTAAAATTAAAATAGCGTGTTTCAAAGTTGCGCTTCTATTTCGAAGTCAACTACTCTTAAACAGCTACTGCTTAATTCATATAATGGAACAAACCCGTAAAGAACTGGTATATTATAGCAAACAATTTTTGTTGTTTACTTTAAAATATTTCATTTACATTAAATAATTCAAAAAATGCTAGTTTTCCTTTCGTAAAGATGTTTCTGTAACGGCTTTTGAATTTTATTTGCAAATTTTTATGAAAATTAAATGATTTATAATAAAAGATTCATACAAAACGTGGTACTTCATTCATGTAATACAGAGAAGGCATAAAGAGTTGGTACTTTATGGGATATTTCCTTTTTAAACTATTCTGAACATATATTACGTAGATAACCTACCATTTTTTTTTACATAACAAATTACTGTACCATTTTTTGAATGGCATTTCAAAAACATTTCTAACTGAAACAGCACCCACAATAATGGCACAAAAAAGATGCCTTACTCCCTAATCCAGCTTTACTTCATGTATTACTCTCACAGTTTGTGTTATTGTTGTTAGGCTTCATTAATCACTGTACATTCCTTTTTCTCCGACTAAACGGTAATAATAAACCCCAACATCAGTAATAAATCCCAAGTTCATACCATATATTTGTAATTTTGGCCTTCATGATGTCAGCTAAGGGACCCAATAACTCAAAGGCAAGGGAGGTCAGTCAAATTTTGACAACTTCAGGGGGTGCCAGTGAAAGTGTCACAAATCTCAGGGGAGGTTTCTTAAATTATCCCTAATAAATATATTACAAACCACATTGTAATTGATAGTTATTGGCTAATTAAATATGTTGGTACAAATGTATTACTAAAGTTACTCGAACTAATTAATAATTTCTATTAGTAAATATGTATAATTAGTAGTATAATTCATAATATTAATTATATTACATAAATTAATGTACATATATAATACATATAACTAATAATACCATTGTTATTGGTGCACTGAAGAGACGCATAAGCATTGTGAGCAATGAAAATAGATGGGGAGAAACAGAAGTTACTGTTCCTACACATGAATGGAACGATGGGCAAAAGAAAAGGCGTTGGGCCTTATGGTCATTGGTTAGGATAGCAAGCCGAGGAACAAACAGCCCAATCGTAAAAGCAGTTTATAGCAGCAGCGTACGGCACCAGTTTACAAAAGCTGGGCAACTGAAGCTAATTCCCAGGTAGCCACTTCGGAAAACGTCTATCCCACGAAGAGATTTTGCGCAACATACGATTCCACTTAATTTCGTATTTACAAAAAAAGGAACAAGTTTGGCTCGTCTAATAAACAATTTGTCAACTACTTACTCTCCTATTAACCAAGTGCAGTAGCGGTATTTGCTACAGCAGTGCTTACGACGCAACCTTGACAGTCATGCATCTTGTGATCCTTCTGTGCATGACCCCTTCGGTGGAACTACAATGACTTACCCATCTACACCTAGCAACCTTGAATAATCTTCACCCCACCGATACATAACAAAACACAATCCCTAAAGCCGGTGTTGCTCTATAACCTGTCTGTCGTCACGGCTGCTACTTCCATGCACAACCATACCATCTCTTTCAACCTCTGCATTTCACACCTAGAAGAATATATAATAGGATTTACACACGCAACGGCAGTGAAATAAGAACAACAAAGCCATTTACCAACAGGTACTGCATCAGTACAATGACTGTTTACAACCTTTCAGTGGCTGTGGTGATAACAGCTTACAATGGCCCATGACACATTCAAACTTACATTATTTACACTTCAATGGTAACGGAATCAAAATTTTTTAAACAATATACCCAGCTTTCCCCGCATTCACGAATACCTTGTAGCCTTCTCATGCTCAAGACAAATTAATGCGAAGGAAAGATACAAACCCTTCCCCTTTTACAATTTCGTACTTGTTTCATGGAAAGACTACTCTTGCACCTCGACTCACCAAAACCTGCCTTATTTATTGCGTAACTGCAAACCGAAGCATCACAACAGTAGTGCCTCATCTTTCTCCTGGACTTCTTTGTTGGCCACCTGTGTCCCTTCCACCGCTACCGAATGGTTGTGGTACAAATGCTTGTCCTCTCCATTCGCCTGAGTCGCTGCAGCCCGTACCAATTTCAAATGATTTTTCCAGCGAGTCATCCAAACAGTTTTCCATATAATCATCATCAACTGCTGTGTTGTGCGAATTCTTTTTGTATGGGCATGTTCGTTGGTTGTGGCCTGCCTGCAATCTTCAACCCATATATCACATGTCAAATCATTTGTGACTGCAAGTAATCACGTTAACCGAGCACAGTGCTAACATTACACCACTTCAACTTTCTTGCATTGCCAATAACTTTGTATACTTTGTATGCACTTTTAATTATGTGTTTATTTACTACTGTTGTTAATAAGAACGAAAAATACCCACTTCTTCATTATTACCTTCGCTGTCCACTTCATGTATTTTATCAATTAACTACTGTATAACTACGTATGCAATTCCGATAGTACCTGCAATGACCACACTTTCTTTTCTTCTTTGCTTCTGCATGCTTGTGATCACCTTTACACCGGGACACCCTAGGATCTAACAGCCCGAATGTTCTTCTACTTCTATCGTTCCTCACTCTTGAATCCATTGCAAATCCATCTCCCCCATATCCCCTATCAATCCACTTCTCCTTTAGGTCCACAGAATGCTTGTCAAACATCTGTTGCAGGTCATTAAACGCATCATCCATGTAGGAGGCATAGTAACACATAGTATTACAGCTGGACTTTAAAGTGCCATATCTGGCCATTTGTGTCAGCTGTTCGTCTGCAACAAATTCTTTCATTCCATTATTACTACAGTGAACTCCCTTTGTCCACCGCTTCGAAATGCATGCTTCTGGGATCCTGTTCATTCCTTCTACCACCATCACGCGAAACATGTGAGCACAAGGAATCCCCTTTGACTCGAATTTCATGCAAGAGCAGATTAGCTTCTCCATTGACCTATCATAATCCACCCTCCAACTTATTTCGTGTCCACCATATTTCGAGTAATAATATGTACGATTCCCTCCATCCTCGCTCCAGCCCTCAGAAATTAGAAGTCCTTGCCTGTTCAAATGCTTCCTCACCATGAAGAACACATTCCTTGTAAACACCTCCGCTGCGCTCCCCTCTAATTCGGGCAGGATTGTGGTTAAGACTGGTTTTGTGTTTTCGCTTGTGTGAACTGCTTTGCTCTCGGTATGTCGAAGCCATGCTATTGCCAAATCAAAACTTCTAACGAATTCATATAGTCGCATTTTTTCATTCAAGTACTCGTTCAAAAAAGCATTCATTTTCTCACACCTTTGAGTACTTCTCATACCTGCAAAAAAATGACCGCGTAAATAGGACTCTGCCCATAACCTTCTCCTACGGTACAATTTCTTCACCCACTCATTCTCTACCACCCCACATTCATTAACCAACCTAGCCCACCGATCCTCAAACTCAAGAGTGCTACACTTTCTCGCCATCAGGTTATAGAACCTGTTATTAAACTCCTCACAGCGAATATTACTCCGTGCATTTCTATGCAAGTGCCACGAACATAGCCTGTGACAAGCATCCGGGAGAAGATTCTTTATAGCTCTTCTCATTGCACTGTCCCCATCTGTCATCACTGCTACTGGCTTTCTACCTTTCATAGCCTCTACAAATGTACTTAGCACCCATTCATATGTTTCAATCCTCTCATCTGATAGCAGTGCACAGCCAAAAACAGTACTGTTCAAATGGTTGTTTACCCCTGCAAGTACAACTAGTGGCTTGCGGTATTTATTTGTTTTGTATGTTGTATCAAACACCAATACATCTCCAAATACACTGAAGTCCGCACGAGATTTAGAATCTGCCCAAAACAACATTGCCAATCTTCCTTCGTTATCTACATGATATTTATAAAAGAACATGTCATCGGCATCCTTCTTCGCTGCCAAGAACCCAAGTGCCCCTTCTGCATCGCCATTAAAAATATCTTTTCTACGTTCCTCGTCCATTCGGTTATACAAATCCTTAATGCAAAATCCCACGTTACTATACCCTCCGGCTTTGATAACAAAATGTTTCATTATCTGGCATATTCTGGCCCCAACCAACTTTAGACTTTTTGCCTGCGCATATTCTGCATCGCTCACTTTTCTATGCGACCTAATATGTTGCACACTTGCCTCTGATGCCAGCGGGTGATTGTGCTCCATAATGAAACGTATCACCACATACTTTACCGATTCTATGTCATATTTCACGCGAAAGCAAGCCCCACACCCGGTTCTTGTGATTGGTTTTGCTTCTCTTTTCCGGTCTTCATAATTAAACCACTTTTCATTCCTGTAACCTTCACAGCAACATACCCATTTTCTAAATCTTGAAATGCCATCTGCATCTCGTTTGGCATTACTTTTACGAATCCCAAATCCGCTTAGTTTCGCATGCAAATTATAGAATTCCCCAGCTTCTTCTTCCGTGTCAAATGTTAATTTCATTACGTCATCCACGCCTATTGCGCCCACCAATTCATCTGCCTCCTCATCTTCGTGTCCTCCTATTGAACCACCGCTTTCTTCAATGAATGTGTCTCGGTCACACTCAGGTTCTTGGTTAAGGTCAAATGACCTTAACCTGCCGCAAACATCCAACGCCATTTGATTAATTCTCTGTTTCCTGCACCATGTCATGAGTTGAGTTTTAAGCGCCCCATCCTGCCCCATAGTTACAACCCCTTTGTGGTTGTTCAATGTTTTTTCTAACCATGGTCGCTTAACATTTTCTTTTCAGCCTCCCCATATGCTTTCGTTTGTAACATAAATACTGCTCGTCTACTAATGGAACAAAACATATATACACGATCATTTCAGTTAACAAACCATACTTTACCTCACAACTTTCACAAAATGCACCCGATAAACATTACTCTCACATTCATATACACAGTTTTTATAAGTGTGGTTGATGCAATTATATCAACCTTTAGCATAAAATACCACTATCGACATGCATTTTCATTAACACCCACAAACTCAACCTCTACTGTGTGTTTCTTTAATTCTTTTCACATAAGCATTCGCAATGCAGTATGGGGGCCATTATCCATGTCCACACGGCCATCCAAATCACTCTGTTTTAAGACTTTAGTCCTGTTACAACGTCTTCTTCACGTCTTCACTCATTTCTGCTTAATTTCCTTTACACAATTTAATACAAATTAGAGGACCAACATTTCTTACGTACGTACACAAAGCTCGGTGCACAAACAAACTACGATAATATCCCGGTTTCGTTTCATCTTTGTTCGAAGACGCAGGGTCTTACACCCCGTATTTCGTATTCCTTATTCCTCTATCATTTCCTCTTACAACAACTGTAGAAATCACCCTACTAGACGTACTTTACTCGTTATTCTAATCCATTTTTCAAAGTTGTGGACAAAAGTACTCACCTTTGATTTCTCTGCTTCTGTTCCACGCCGCTGCAGTCTGTCACCACAGCTTCGGAAGGGCCTTCCTCAGATGTATCTACCGTCACCGCCTGCGCCTGAATTTACGCCAGTAGACACCACCTCTTTACCAAATTTTTGCCTACCATTCCGACCTCGCCACTTGTCTTCAAACACACGCATCACCGCGGGCCCCAACATGGCTCTGTGTTTAGTACCTAATACGCTTCCTCTTCGGTGGCCCCACCATGGCTTTGTTTAGTACCGCTTACGCTTCGTCTTCGGTGTTTCATACAACAGAACCGACACCGCAATTTTTATGCTTTCCGATAAATTATTTTTTTTTCAAGGAAATTGGGTTCTCCTAACTGTGTGATGGACGAAAGCCGTAAAGAGCTGGTCGTTTATAAGACAACCGTTTTAACTACATTTTATCCCATAACCCAACATTTGTATTTAAGGCACGTTGGGTACTCTGTCATTGTAATGGTTGAAAGGCACAAAGAGCTGGTCTTTTACTCACTAACGGGTTTAATTGCATTTCATCCGATAAATCAGTCTGTCTTTATGGCACCTTGGGTATTATGTTGTTGTAATGGAAAAAAGCCAAGGGGAGATGAAACTTTTGAACTGAGACACACGTTTGAATATAATAATGGTCCTCAAAATGGATTTAATCTTTAGTTGTAGTCCAGGAAAGCCGTAAAGAGTTGGCTGTTTATTCAAAAATGCATTTAAATATGATATTCCGTTGTTAAAATGCATTTAAAATGCAATCGCTAACATTTGTATTCAACGAAAATGAGTTATTCCGTTGTTATTATGGACGAAAGAGTTGAAAATTGGGGTTGTTTTAATAAAGTTACGGGTTTATTTTTACTCCTTAGCCCATTATATTTATGTTAATTCCGTTTCACCCCAATGCATTTCCAGCTTGTGCAGTACGCTACATTTCCAATGTCCAAACCGCGGTTATAGGTCATCACTTCCTTTTCTGGAATTATTCCCTTTCGGGTCCGTACTTGTCAGCCTGCAACGTGGAGGCTTCTTTGCCATATTATCTGCTTTCCACACGTATTTTCTCCCTTTGTGAATGCACTACAGAAATTACCTCAAAATTTATAGACAAATTTTGACAAACAAACCCAATGATTATTTAACGAAGGAAGGAATAAAGCAATGATGTCTGATCAAGTTTTCCAGTTCAAAGCAACTCAAGACCCCACCTCAGGTTTGTTTGGATTGCTTCATATTTCCCTAATTTTATTTGCTTACATCATCTTTACAATTTCCAATACACTTTTTTATCTTCCCAATATCCTTTTATCTCACATACATCACATCACAAAAAGTACTACAGTAAAAATATCCCAAATAATCCCAAATAACTTACAATCCAAACAGAACATTTCTGAATCAAATGGAAGCCAGCTATGAGTTTTCCAGGAACATGTGATGCAGAGGAAAGTGAATTTCGTCGGAGTGGAACAGAAAAAGCAACTCAAGACCTAAGTTCAATTCGGGTTTCTGAATTCTTTTGTCAAACCTAGCCGAGAGTAGATGAAACTAGTTAAGAATACAAAATTATTCCTTTGAAAAGATGGTTGAAAAAGATAAAATTAGATAATTAGAAAATATATTTATAATATAAATAAAATAATATTTATAAATAGTGGCTATCCAAACACTGTTGCTTTTATATTACAATTGACGATACCTATATATTATTATGTCCTGCTCTAAAAGGGTAGGAAAACCCAATTAAGTTGCATAAGAACCAGATGAAAATATCCATTTAGACCAAAAGGGTGCACTAGCACACTTTTTAGATTTTATCCACTTGCACGTTTCAAAGTTTGAACCAGTGACCTGTAATCGAGAGAGAGATCTTCCATCTCTTCTTTGTAGTCAACTTACTTGCATTACTTTTCTACCCACTTCATCGGATGGTTTGTTGAAATTCAAGCATTCGCTTTATCACATCATATGTTGTGAGAGTTATTGTGATACGGATTTTGTGTTTTCATAAAAGATACACTAGGAATGACCTAAGAGATGCTTCTTTGATTCACGAGTAATATATATATATATATATATATATATATATATATATATATATATATATATATACTCCCCCCGTCTCACTTTAATAGTTCTATTTCTTTTTTCACACAATTTAAGAAAAAATAGTTAACTTTGTTGGAAAAGTAAATTTAGATTGCTATTTTTCTAAAATACCCTTACATTAAATAGAGTACAACTTTATGGAAACTTAAATTGATGGCAAAAAAAGAATCAACTCTCATTAAATGGGGTAGGTTTATAGTAACAACAACTTACATTGAATAAGGGCATTTTAGAAAAATTAAAATACAACTACATTCTTCAATTGAAAAGTGAACTATAATTTGAGACAGACGAAAAGGAAAAACATGACTATCAAAGTGGGACGGAGGGAGTATATATTTACACTGGTGACATATTGGAGCATCTTTTCATAATGTGCAAGTTGAATAGTTTGTAATGTTATCAGATATTTAATCAAATGTTATTTCTTATCTTAAATTTCGTTATGACTATACTACATATTTATGAAATAGACAAACATTTATAATTAAAGTTAATATTTGCTATTTTTAGATGTCATATATTTAAATAGATAAAAATTATTTTAAAAATAACTTATTAAGATAATTTTGTTAGGAAAAATTTTGGTCTCCCAAAGGAAAAAAATCCTAGCTCCATCACTAAAGTTGATACATTGAAGTTGATCAAAGTTGATAAATTAACCAGACTTGGCTCTGTAGATTTACAACAATTCTTTACCATACCTATTAAACTGTTCCGGGCAAGATACAGCCCCTCCAGCTTCTTCAAGGTTCCATATTCCCATGGTGTCTGTCCGCTAAATTCATTTGATGACAATGACAATAGTTGGATTACTGAACAAGCAGTTAAATTTGATGGCAACTGGCCATTTAATTTATCTGAAGTTAAATAAAGCCCTCTGAGACTTGGAAGATCATTGCACACGTCTGGAGGAAGATTACCAGATAAGTTATTTCCTGAGAGAGCAATAATTTCCAACGTTGAAATGTTGAAAATGGAGGATGGTATAGACCCTGTAAGTTGGTTATACTGCAAATTTAGTACCCTCAGGTTTGGTAGAGCTCCCATCACTTCAGGAATCTAATCTTTACCTTGTAAAGGATTGTATGATAGTTCCAATGTTTCAGGCTTCGAGAATGAGGGATAAATCCAGTAAAGCTGTTATTTCTAATTGACAAAAATTTAAGTTCAGGAAAGGAACCAAACCATGACGGATTATCTCCAGTGAAGTTGTTGAGCTTAAAGTTCATAAACCACAGGCATCGCAAACGGGACAGATCTCCAGGTTGATTGCCCTGGTAATTGTTACCACTCAGGTCCAAAGAAACAAGAAAAGACAAGTTCCCCAGATGGGGAGGAATGCTGCCTGTCAAACCCATGAATGGTATGTTTAAAGCAGTTACTCTATGATGTTGGATGCCACAAGTGACTCCAATTCAATCACAAACAGAAGTATTAGCAGTCCAGTCGTCTTCCAGGACTAGGTAGGGTTCTGATAATGCGTGCTCTTTCAAAGCAACAAGAGCAGATTGATCAGTGACAATATTGGTTTCTATGTTGGCTAAGCAAGCCATCGAAAAATGCAGGAACAGAACTGCAAGAGGAAAGTAATACTGAAGAATTCTTGAAAATGTAATTTATTTTTGAAAAAAAAAAAGAAGCTCCCCAACCCCCCCCCCCCCAAAAAAAAACCCCCAAAAAAAATATCTGTTTTGACGGAATGCAATCTCTCTCTCTTTTTTTTTTTGGCAACAGGATGTGAAGCTTGACTGCCGACTTTCACACTTCTTTTATGGACGAACAAAAAATGAGTATGGCTTAACTGCGTCTCAAATGTCAAGTAAGATCAGCATTTGGGGTCCTATCGAATCTGTTCACGTTTGAAACCAAGAAAAGAAAGAGCACGAATGCCTATCCATACTTCCCAGCTAACTAAAGTTAAAGTTCCAGGAACTAGAATTCTAAATTCAGATCTCTTTAAACCTTTCTACTAGTTCGTATTAGTTGGGATGTATTCAATTTGTATTGAGCCTACAATTTTTTAGTTGAAATGCCCTTCAGTTTCATTCGATTTGCATCCATCCTACCAGTTGTGAGCATAATGTAACTCTTTGATAAGTGTCTTTACCCACAATCTTCCTTTGATCCTACCATTTGTGAGCATAATTTAACTCTCCATAGATGCTAGAATCACTAGTGCTCTATAATCACTAATGCTTTTGGCACGCTCTACATGTATGCTTACTTCAAAATATATATATAATTAGTTTTTTTACAATAAGTTATTGTATGTAGCAGGTATAGTGCGTGTATTTTTTTTTTTTTTTAAGAAATCTATTAATACTACGCGTTTTTATTTAGGAAATTATTATATCTATAATCATGGTCGAGTGGAAATACTAACTTTAGAGGATATTTTTAATATAACATTAAGTGATATCTGATAATGAGAAATGTACACTTAAATTAGCATTGTACTTTATCCCTTGAGTTAGCATTGTACTTTTATTGCTCAGGTGGATGCGTAGTCTTGTGAATTAAGACTCAATTCTCACCTTTTACACCCCCCAAAGTGCAAATTGCAAAAGCATAGTATTGTGTTTCTGACACATTTTGTAGATATTATTATATATTGTTGAATCAAATATACTGGCCTACTAGACAACTGATAAAAGAGAATTGAATTGAAGTTACACATCAATGTTCTTTTTCCCACTCAGTGTATCAATTCCACCTAATAAAAAATTAAAAACCACAGACAGATAAACATTTAGATGCTGGCATTCTCCAAATTTGATAAAATCAACAGAACAAAAATTGGTATCATTTAAAAAAAAAAAAAAAAAAAAAAAAGAGAAGTACCACAGAAGTACCCCCCCCCCCCCAACCCAGCCCAAAAAAAATATTTGTTTTGACGGAATGCAATTTTTTTTTGGCGACCAGAGAAAATGCAATCAAACGTGAAATCAAACAAATTATCCAAAAGAAAAAAGGATAAAAAAAAACATATTATAGAAAAGGGCGTCAGGTCTCCAAGGTGATTTAGCATCAATGTAGAGCTATTCAGACGCAAATTACCCATTTGTATACATGAGATTCATCCTTTGCCCCAAAATTAATCTGAAACCTAAATAAATTTAAAAACCCGAATTCACGATAAGAAAAAAATAAAGAAAAAAACTTCGAAGGAAATAAAGAAAGGCGATCAGAACCTGTCGGGATTCATAGTTAACATCAGAGGATTATTATTCAGTGGATTAACAGACTTATGAATTCTATCATCCCCTCGCTCTTTCTTTAAATCCCCAAATTTTAATTAGAAACAAAAAAAAAAGGTTTGATGATAAAAATCGAAACTTTTATATGTACACAACCGCTTAATACTCAGGAAGTGCTCAGAACTTCTTAGAGGAATTAGGTTGCCGTCATAGACAAACGACGTCGTCGTCGTCGTCATCTCCGGCCCGAATTATGAGCTCGTCACTGCAATCTACTGAAAATTGCGGCGAGTAATCAAAAGAGGAAAGAACACTTACTCGAGTTTGCGATTGAAAGGTGAAAACTATCTAAAACCCTACGCATCTGAGCCGAGCTGAGCTGAGTTGAGTTGAATCGATGGCTGCTTGTGACTTTAGGAGGCGGCGAAACCCTAGCATCTTCTTCTTCACGCCGCCTAAACCTAAACCGTACTTTTGAAAGACTTAAAAAAAATTATATATATTTCTTTTGGGACCTTTTGTTTTTATTTATACTTATAATATATGTAATTTAAATGGAAAAAATGGGCATACAATTTTTCTTGTATCGAATATTTGAATGGATTCCTTAGATAATTTGGGATAATTGTCTCTTTCGCTTGGTTTGATAATCTAGTTCAGTATTTATTTGATAATTCAATTCAACATTTAAGGTTGATAATCCAATTCATATTTATCAGATTTTATTATGTAACAATATTTAATTATCATCACTTAATGTGATATATATTCAAAATTATCAAATTTTACTCAATGGATTCAAATTTCAGTTTTCAACTTCAATTTTATCAAATGCATCCTTAGTTCCTTTATTGTGTAATTAAGTTATTTTTACCAAAGATTTGGAGGAGTTCCTTAAATAATTTGGAATGCATTAGTTCCTTTTTAATGGGAGATTGTAGCTCCGGCTCTGTAGTTGGGATGCAAAACACGACAAGATCATTCTTTTGTCAGTCATACTACCCTTTTTTTTTTTTTTTTAACGAAATGACTCTGGGGTGTTTGAACAGTCATTTTTTACAGAAAAATTACTCGTGAACACATTTTCCTATTATCTTTTTATCTCACATACATCAAATCGTTAAAATAATTTTTCTACAAAACAATCCAGAAAAATGCAATCCAAATTCTTTGAGAACGACTTTAGTATTACTAAGTTAAAAACTCATTTGTTATTGAAATTATTTTGATAAATTACACTACCACTTGAGACTCATTGGAGCCATTTGAGGGTTTGGATTTCAAAATTGACAATTGAACTCACACAGGGAAATTTATGATAATTTCTTAATGTGATAGCATGTGGATGTATTCTTCCTCAGCATCAGACCTCCAAAAACGGTACAGAGAAAAATCTTTGCAAGGATTCCCACTGCCTTTTGATCATCTAAAAGCAAGATGAAATCCTAATAGAGCTTCATGAAAGATACACCAATGGGTTCTAAATTTTATAACTGTAAAGAGACCCAGAGACATCATAGGATCATAGCACAGCAGCCTAACATAGCACTATAGCAGCTAGGCCTCCACCTCCATGGGGACAGTGGATGTCAGGCAAAGGAAATTACAAGTAAACTGATGAGCTTAAACAAGTTTCAAAGTCTATAAAAAGCATCCAGATGAAATGCTAGTTCTACTCTTAAGCATTTGCTGCAGAGTCCAAATGCATTGTCTCAATTTTCTAGATAAGGCAGATTTGAGTAGGCTATGTTTGCCAATCTGCTCAGGCTACATATTTATCATCAACATCAGCATCAATTTTCTCCAGGAGGGCAGACTAACAAAATGAAAATGAAAAAGAAGCAGGGGGCAATAAAGAAGGAAATTAGCTATATCAAACTTAAAACTGATGTCGCTATCAACCAATGTCCACCAAAGAGTTGTCGGCGGGGAATTTTAGTTTAAAGTATGGCAAGGGTTGGTGGGGTTTTGCATGGCCGGATAAAGATGACCCCAAAGAATGGGAGGAGAGGTTCATGGTGAAGAATATGCAATGATGTCTGAGTAAAATAGAGAGAAAATGCTAAATTTTCAACTACCCTCAGTTCAGTAAGCTCTTATCAAGAATTAACTATCTTCTTATTGTCTTCTAGTTCACTGAAATATGCTACTCACAGAACAGTCATCATGAACGCGCCAAATGGTTTCACCCAACAGGTTTGCAACTGAAAGTACAGTTAACTGGGGCAAATAATTCTTCTCAATTGCTGGAATTGTGTTTGTAACTGTAGTAGGGCCCATGCGCACATCGGCCCGGTCCATAAACACATCAGTCCGGCCCACGAGTTCGGACATGAATAGCTGGTCGGAGTGTCAGGTCAGTTCGCAGGTCCAGATGGGCGCCGCCTCCCAGGCGGATGGGCCTGATGGGCTGCGAAGCTCGTATTTATCGGAGCTGGGTAGTGGAGCCCTAGGAGCCGTTTCTCTCCAACAAAGACTCCTTGTCCTACCAGGAAACTACTACCTGTGACTCTATAAATATCACGCGTAGGAAAAACACAAGGTACGCTACTCATAGTGCAAACTCTACTCTTCTACTTACGAATCCATTCTGACTTGATCGTCGGAGTTGCTTCAGGGGACTTAGCCCCGCAGCTCGTTCACGTGCAGGTCGAACACTTGACCAGCTCGCTCCCCAGGCACCAGGCCAGTTTGGACCTTCACTTCGGCAGTCGCATCAATTGGCGCCGTCTGTGGGAAACACGTTACTCTTCTTCGCGAATTATGCCGAAAACTAGGTCGCAGAGAAACGCTGGCGGATCCAAGGGGACGGAGCGAAGCGGCCCCCAAAACTCCCCTCGGGATCCAACACCTGGAGAAGGAGGGGCAGGGCCCTCACGAATCTCGCCCGAACAGCTGGTTCAGAAGGTGGCGGAAAACCTGCCCACCTTTGAGGCGATCATGAACTACCTCAAAGGGCAGTCGGGAGGTCAACCGGACAAGGAGCCTAAGGTCCAGGGAGCAGACCTGTCAGAGTCCCGAACTGGGAGTCCCAAGCACGGGGCCAAGCGGGCGCATCGGGAACTCACGCGTGAGTAGATCGAGGTCGTGGAGCCCTCTCACAAGAACTCCCGAACCGAACATCCGGAGCCCGTCCGGAGGCCCTCCCCCCTGAGGGAACGACAACAGGTACAGGACGAACTGGACCTACTGCTGGACCCGGAGGCGGACAGGTACATTGCTTCCCCCTTTGTGCTCGATATCGAGGAATACCAACTGCCCGCGAAGTTTAAAATTTCAAACACGAAATCTTACGACGCAACCACGGATCCGGAAGACCACCTGTTCGTGTTCATGACGCAGATGCGTTTACAAACGGCCGCGGATGCGGTCAGGTGCAAGACCTTCCCGATGTTCCTAGAAGGAAGGGTCCGGCAGTGGTTCCAGGGACTTCCCCCCAGATCGATCAGGTCTTTTACCCAACTCGCACGACTGTTCTCAGCGCAGTTCGTCTTTTCGCGAGCCTTCTCTAAAAGCACCGCTCACCTCATGACCATCCAGCAAAGGGCCGAGGAATCACTGCGCGAATACATGGTGCGATTCAATAACGAATCCCTCCAGATCCGCGACCGAGACGACAAGGTGGTCATGACTGCCTTCATTAATGGGCTGCGGAAGCAGAAGTTATACACGGAGCTCGTGGAGAGACCACCCAAGTCAGTCCGGGAGACGCTGGACCGAGCTCACGAGAAGGCCAACGCTGAGGAGGCCAATCACTTGAAAAGCGCGCAAGAGAGGCAGAGGGATGACAAACGCCGAAGGATCACCGACCAGGGAGACGTGCGACGTGACCAGGGACGAAAGAATAACTATGGCTATCCGCCCAGAAGCCGGCCCCTGGGGGGAGATAAGCCTTGGACTTCTCTCACGGCCCCCAGAGCTCGGGTTCTTGCGGTGATGGAGCAGGAAGGGCTCTCCCGATCTCTACTGTGCATACCACCGAGATGTGGGGCACGATACTGAGGACTGCCGCCACCTTAAGAAGGAAATCGAAAAGCTGATACGAAGAGGTCATCTTGGCCAGTTTGTCCGTGAGGGGCGAACTGATCAAAAGCAAGGGGGTTTCAAACGAGATCGGGGTACCAGCTCGCACGACCGACCTCGGGGTCCTCGGGATCGAACTCCAGAGCAAGGAGTTCAAAACCTAGCGGGAGTGATCAACACTATTGCAGGGGGACCTGCTGGGGGAGATAGCCATACGGCTCGGCGAAATAACCGACCTCCCCCCAGTGGGAAGAGCTCGAACAAGCGCTTAAAGATGTACGAGGAGATCATCTATGGGCCAGAGGACGCGGTACCCTTAGCCTCCAATAATCATGAGGCAATTGTGATAGAAGTCATCACGTTCAACTACAAAGTAAAGAAGGTATACATCGACAATGGGAGCGCCATCGATGTGTTGTACTACAAGGCCTTCAGAGAACTGCAGCTGGAAGACAAACTGCTCATCCCAGTTCGTACTCCTTTGATAGGTTTTGCAGGTCCGCCAGTGAGGCCAGAAGGAATGATAACCCTCATGGTCACTGTAGGGGAATCACCGAAGTGCCGAACTGTTCCGGTGAATTTCGCGGTGGTGAAGGAACCGTCCTCCTACAACATGATACTAGGACGGCCAACCCTAAACGCACTCCGAGCTGTCTGTTCAACCTTACACCTTAGCATGAAGTTTCCAACGCCCGATGGAGTGGCCGAGGTGCTGGGAGACCCGGAGGTAGCTCGGGCCTGCTATATCGCAACCCTCAAGGGTAAGGAGAAGCTAGTAGCCCAGGCAGCCTATCTGGAACCCTGGGAACCTGCTGAAAAAGAGGAGAGGTTGGAGACGGACGAGAGTCTGGTTGAATTGCCTATCTACCCTGAACGACCCGACCGTGTGGTTAGGGCTGGATCTGGCCTAAGCGAGCTAACGCGGAGAGCCCTGCAGTCTCTCCTGGAGGAATACGCCGAGATTTTTGCTTAGAGTGCCAACGACATGCCCGGAGTTCCTCCCGAACTGGCAGTTCACAAGTTGCACGTGGACCCAAGCATCCAGCCAGTAAAACAAAAGAAGAGAAACTTCGCGCCTGAGCGCAACGAGGTCGTTAAAGAGGAGGTAGGCAAGCTGTTGGAGGCCAAGATTGTGAAAGAGATCTACTATCCGACCTGGCTAGCCAACCCTGTGCTGGTCAAAAAGGAGGACAGGGCTTGGCGGATGTGCGTGGACTTCACCGACCTGAATAAAGCTTGTCCGAAGGATTGTTACCCCCTCCCTCGCATCGACCAGCTGGTAGACTCGACTACCGGATGCGAGGTTTTTTGCTTTCTGGATGCCTTCAAAGGGTATCATCAGATAGCCCTGGATGAGGAGGATCAGGAGAAGACCGCCTTCATCACCGAGTACGGCACGTACTGTTATACCACCATGCCATTTGGGTTAAAAAATGCTGGCGCGACCTATCAGCGGCTGGTCAACAAGCTGTTCAGAAGCCAAATCGGCCGAAACATGGAGGTATACGTAGATGACATGCTGGTGAAAAGCCGAACTCAGGAGCAGTTCATCGACGACCTCAAGGAGGTCTTTGGCGTCCTACGGAGCTCGCGGATGCGATCGAACCCCAAGAAGTGCACTTTCGGGGTTAGGTCGGGCAAGTTCCTGGGGTACATGATATCCAAGGACGGAGTAAGGGCTAATCCCGACAAGGTAAAAGCTATCACGGACATGGCTCCTCCCCGAAACATAAAAGAGGTCCAGCGGCTAGCTGGCAGGATGGCGGCCCTAAACAGGTTCTTGTCGAAGTCTGCAGTTCGGGGTTCCCCCTTTTTCAAAGCCTTGCGACGAGGTCCTCAGTTTGAGTGGACCCCCGAGTGCCAGCGAGCGTTCGACGAACTAAAAGCCCACATCGCGCAGTTGCCAGCCTTGACCTCTCCCGCACAAGGAGAAACCTTATTTATCTATCTAGCAGTGGGGGAGGAGGCAATCAGTGCGGTGCTAGTTCGGGAAGAAGGCAAAATCCAGAAGCACGTATACTACGTCAGCCGAGCTCTGCAGGGCGCGGAGCCAAGGTACACCTCAATTGAGCGGTATGTTCTGGCATTAGTTCACGCGGCCCGGAAGCTCAGGTCGTATTTCCAAGCTCACCCCGTGATAGTAATGACCGACCAGCCTCTCAAGCAAATTCTTTCGAAACCTGATGCATCGGGAAGAATGGTGAGGTTGGCCGTGGAGCTGTCCGAGTACGACCTCAGCTACCAACCCCGCACGGCCATTAAAGCCCAAGCATTGGTAGATTTCATAGCCGAAGGAATTTCCTTTGGACAACAGGAATCGCAGGTCGAGTTGGCCAGAGACGCAGCTAAGGCCGAGCGGGCCGGAGAGGCTGCCGAGGTCGCGCAGGCCGCCATGTTCGAACTGACCCAAGACGCAGCTGAGGCCAGGCAGGCCGGAGAAGCTACCGAGGTCACCCAAGCCGCTAAGACTTCCAAGACCGAACAGACCATAGACGCAACCGAGGCCGAGCAGGCCAGGGAACCTGCCGAGGTCATACAGGCCACAAAGGAAGCTACGGGCGAGCCGAACGGAAACGCAGCGGAGGCCGAACAGGTCAGAAATGCTGTGGAGGACGAGCAGGCCGCCGGAAAGGTAGGACAGTCCATTCCGACCTGGACGCTGTTCATGGATGGGTCGTCGAGCAAGGAAGGATGCGGAGCGGGGCTTCTCTTGACCAGCCCCATGGGGGATGAATTGGCCTACGCCCTGAGGTTTGATTTCAAGGCCTCCAACAACGAGTCCGAGTACGAGGCCCTGGTCGCGGGGATGATGATAGCTCGAAAGTTGGGGGCCGAATCAATAGAAGTCTACAGCGATTCGCAGCTGATAGTAAATCAGGTAGGGGGAAGTTATGAAATTAAAGAGGAGCTACTAAGAAGGTACGTCGCCAGAGTGCATGAGCTGAGAGCTCAGTTCAAACTGTTCACGCTCAAGCAGGTCCCGCGAAACCAGAATAAGAGGGCAGACGCACTGTCCAAGCTCGCCTCCACCTCAGTGGGCACATTGAACAAAGAGTTCTTGGTAGAGGTCGTCAGGAATCGGGCATATGATTGGGTAGATGCGGCCGTTATTCAAGTAGTGAGCTCCTGGATGGATCCCCTAGTGCGGTACCTGGCCAATGGAGAGCTCCCCTCAAGTCGGGTAGAAGCACGACGGGTCCTTCTCAAGTCGCGGGGATACGAGCTCTCGAATGGGGTACTTTACAAAAAATCATATCTACGTCCATGGTTGAGGTGCGTGACTACAGAGGAAGGAGACTATATCCTGCGTGAGCTGCATGAGGGTATCTGCGGGAACCATGTCGGCCCGAGGGTTCTGGCCAAAAAAGGAATGTTGTCTGGATATTACTGGCCCACCATCTTCTTGGACTCAGCCGAGCTGGTAGCCCGATGCAAATCCTGCCAACTGCATGCTCCGATCCACCATGCCCCAACTCAAGAGATGGTGCCTCTTCAGAGCCCTTGGCCCTTCTTCCAGTGGGGGGTAGACCTGCTGGGCCCGTTCCCTCGAGCTCCTGGGGGTTATGAACACATTGTGGTGGCTGTGGATTACTTCACCAAGTGGGTGGAGGCCGAGCCCCTTATCACCATTAGCAGCAGGTCGGTCCAGAAGTTTCTCTGGCGAAACATTGTTTGTCGATTTGGTATACCCCGGGTCCTGGTCTCAGACAACGGACGACAGTTCGTGGACAACTCTCTCCAAGGTTGGTGCTCGGAGCTCGGAATTCGGCAGCACTTTACCTCGGTAGGTCATCCTCAAGCCAATGGTCAGGTAGAGAACGTCAATAGGACCATCCTGCATGGCCTGAAGACCCGAATAGAGTCTGCTCAGACTGGATGGATCGACGAGCTGCCCACAATACTATGGTCGTACCGGACCACTCCTCGAACTGCCACCCAGGAAACTCCTTTCGCCGTTACTTACGGGGCAGAGGCCGTGATTCCGGCAGAGATCGGTGTTCCCTCGGGCAGAGTTCAGAACTTCATAGCTCGGGACAACGAGGACGAGCTACGTCTTAACTTGGATCTGCTGGAAGGAAGGAGAGAAGAGGCGGCCATACGTATGGCTAAGTACAAATGACAGATTGTGCGACACTACAATGCTAGGGTGAGGTCTCTGTCCTTCAAGCCAGGGGACCTGGTCTTGAGGAAGAACAGCGTGAGTCGGCTTCAGGGCACGGGCAAGGTGGATCCAAATTGGGAAGGTCCCTATGTGGTGAAATTGGCAGACCGAGCTGGATACTGCAAGCTAACCCACCTCAGCGGGGAAGAGGTCTCGCGTACCTGGCACAATTCCAACTTGCGGATTTTCCGTTAAACTCGCGCATGACATCTCGTCTCAAGGTCAAGACTTTTATTAATATCGATGTATTTGGTTAATAAGTTATTTTGTCTTAGAGAATAGCTCATTTAGGTTGGCATAAGGCCGAACTGATGTGTTTATGTCAAGAAATTTTGCAAATGCGACTAAGTATGAAGCAAAAGAAAGGCTTTTCATTCCATTCGATAAACTGTACAAGAGAAGAGCTCATACAAAAAGAACTGTCTACTAACAGTTCGGCTCCTATCCTAAAGCCCTACTCTAGTTCTCCCCCTCCTCCTCCTCCTCCTGCTCGGATTCGGGGGTGGAGACTGGCAGCAGGGGATCAGCAACTAGGTCGGCTAGCTTCCGTCCATGCGTGTAGCCTTCCACCAGGCGGTCGAGCTGCTCTACGGCCAGGGGGTTGTAACTGGGAAAGTTTCCCAGATCGAACCCGGGTAGACCCAACCCTTGCACTTCCTTCAGGGCTTGGGAATACCCATGCTGCAGCACGGGAGTATTCAAGATAGCCAGGTCGCCCCTAAAGTCCTCTGATCGGAGGAAGGCTCGCACGCCCTCCTGGCATCCCTCGGCCCTGGCCGCCTCCGCCTGAGCAGCCAGCTCGGCTGCCTTCTGTTGC